TCTCTTCATTTTCAGATCTTAATTAATAGCAACCTTTGTACTCCAGGCATCTACGTCCTTTGTGTAGCTCCAGCATTTTTGCAGCAGTCTGTCGCTCAAGAGGCAGGTTAGAGTGTACATATGTTCTCGTCTTTAGTTCGTCTGCTATGAAGTGGAGGATTGGAGTGAAATGCAATATATTTTCATTTATGGGTCAGGATACAGAAGGTTTTTTCTCATTTCAATCTTTATCTGAACAACGTAAGCCCTTTGTGTTCTAAGAAATACAGTCACTGGGCACTGTTACCTGAAAGACTACAGCTCTAAAGAGGTGCACGTATTTTATATTGCTAGTGTGTAAGAAAAAGGCTTTTTGGTGTTCAAAGTAAATAAGGTACTTTTTATTGGTCAGTCTGGCATCTCACATATGAGATAGCTCATATGAAATATAAAGTGTCTGTTTTTGTCTAATAAAAAGCAATCACGTGCTCAGTTCAGTATGTTTAATGTTTCTCCCCAAGTTTCTCGATGAAAGCTAAAAAGCATCTCCTAAACGCTACATGCAGCATTTTCTTTAAAAAAAAAACTGACCTGTGATTTTTTTCTTAGGGACTGTAGGTCTACATCAGTTTCTCAACACTTTCCTGTTCATTACCGTGAAGGACTATAATTAATAAGCCCTTTAAATAGCATAATTGAGATAATTAGCAAACTATATATTTAAAGGAGTTACTTTAAAGAAGGTGCTGTGGAAAAGGCTACAGTAAAATGCGATTAAAATGAAGTTCATTATTTACTCTTATTTTCTTTTTTGAGTTAACTAAATGTGCCAATGACAACCACTCTGTCCTATACTGTTCACAGAGTCACAGGGCCAAACCTACTATTAAACAGGCTCCTTGGCTGGGAGCCCTTTCTCCTCACTGTGTCCCTTGTCCTGTGTTTTTAAAGCCCTTCCAAATTAGAACAAGCTCTCCCAAGCACAGTGGAGTTGACCAGCATTTCCACAACTCTTCCATGCCTCTCTAGGCTATCAGCCATCTGTATGTGTATGTCTGTGTCAGCTTGCAGGATGCTGCTGTGTTGGTGTCTGCTCAGTTATGTGCTTGGAGTTGTGTACTCCAATGTGTGTCAAGTTACTAAGTGTAGCAGGGCTCAATACATAATTGTGCAATACCATTGTCAGTAAATAGCCTTGCCATCAGCTAGATATGTTGGAACAAGATATTGTACAGTTGCAGAGGTTTGGTCAGATTATCCTGTTATGGTGTACAACCCCCTTGATATTTGTATCATATTCTAAGTGATTGGTGTCAATACTGGAGAATGAATGAATGTGCTCTATTCTGTATGGATTTGTTGTCACCATTGGTCGATTTTACAGAATATTAGAGTGTGGGATTAAGGGCTTTATACCCTCTTCATATCTCTAGTTAGGTGTTTCATGATGCATTTTTATCTAGAATAGTTTGACTAAGACCTTTACTAATTGATTTGACTGTTAGGTCTGTTCTCTAATTACAATATAGACTCTGTTAAAGACCTCAGTACCATTTCAAAATCATTCTCATTATCAAGAGACATCGGTTGTCATGAACGCCGGCCGTTGTTTTAATACTACATGTGCTTAATTGAAGGCGGTTACTGTAGAAAGTTTTAATAAGCCAGCCCTTTTTTGTTTCAAAAGGATTTACTTCAGGGAAATCAAAAAGAAACATTTCAAGGCAATTAAAACTGACATCAGGCATTATGTAACTTTTTAACCCAAATGTAAGTGTCACGAAGTAGAATGTTTCTTTTCTTTTTCAGGCGCAAAGAAACTTTGCACCAAACTCTTTGAGAACAGTGTTGTCTTCTGTTAAAAGCGTGATTGTTTTTCATAAATTAATCACTGCTCTGTTCATTTGTAAGACTTTTTTCCCCAGATATTTCCCTATTTTAGAGTTCACTTGGTGCTAACATAGCTCAGTGGTTAGAGCTGGCAAATGACAAGTCCCAAGCAGCCCAGTTTCTTTTTGGCAGCAAAATCCCAAATGAAATGGAGCAGGGCTACAGGAGAACAGGATCTGGGCTTTACTACTGGAAAAAAAGAATTAATATCTTTCTGGAAGTAAGAAACCTGTCTCACAGGCTGTCTCACTGCAGCCAGTGTGGTTTTGTCTTGTCAAATGCCCTTTTTATAGTTTTCACCAGACTTTTTAAAAATTGGAAAAAAACACCCAATTTATCTACTGTCATTTAAGTCATTTAAAGCAATAGTTTGTATATTGTTGTATATATAGTTTGCAGCAAGCAAAGGTATTAATCACATCATTGAAATATGATGACTTGCGTTAATAACCATTCAATTATCATTTGTGGAACACGCCTCCTACCAGATTAACAGCATTTAAAGTTCTATTAATGTATCATGTTCTAAAAATATATATAAAAGCAATTTATGAATTGCTGAAGGATTACCACAAAATAGTACAGTATGTTTAACAAACCAATTCATGCACATTTCAGTAAGGGTAAATGTTTCATGATTTCTACTCCACAGAAATCATGAAATATCACCAAATTATGTGTTGTTCTGCAGTGACTGCAGCAGTGTTGTCATGTAAAAAACATGGCTTTTCTTCGATGGGATAAATATTCTGGAATATTTTTAAGCAATACCAGTGCAATTGAATTATTATACATGTTCCTGGCTTTGTCTTACTGTAGAATGAGTCTGTTGTAGAGTATTGTATGACCTAGGAGCTTGTCCACCCAATACCTTGTGCCGGTAGCAAGTGTGCCTATGCAGAAATTATCTTGCACATTTTAATAATAATTGAAGCTGTGAATTCTTAACCATTGCCTTACAGTATGCACATTAGAAAAGAATGTAGGACTTAGGACACTTTTTAGAGAGCAATGTGGAATATTACTTTGACATTGTTTTGTTTAAAAAAAATAAAAATCTATTTAGCTATAGAAAACGCTTTATTCAAAGATAAATCAGAATTCTATTTTGTGAATGTTTAAATAGGGAGTCATATTGTCAATCTTGTTAACAGGAAACACAATGCTGTTGTACTGCCATGCTGTGTGTGCCTTTTTTTTGTTTCCTGCAAAGTTCTGCTATTTTTAACATTTACAGTTCGATTCTTACAATGATAATGCAAAAGTTCTTCTGAATCATATTTGTAAATATGGCCAATAAATATTAAATTGAAAAAAAAAATGCCCATCATCTCACTGTCTTGTCTTAAGGTGCTCAGCATGTTCTCTGTTGTTTCCATGTATCATACACCGTGGCCGTTCTAAAATAAAATTATGGTAAAAAAAACCATATGCTTCATCTATGGACACTGATGAACATGGAAAATATGTAGGAACAAAAGAAGAAAAACAAAACAGGTATTCCCTGGGTTATGGCAGTGCGCTGTGGAAGGTTACAAAGACTACCACCAAGCCAACAGATCAACATGAATGCCCAGTTTATTGTGGCAATACATCCAGAATGAAACCAGGAGAAAGGCCATAATTTTAGCTTCCTGTCAGGAAGAAGAGTTTACAACTTAACAGTAATAATCACTTGCCAACTCAGTCCTGTATCCAGCTCGAACGATCCTGCTGACATGCAGTGATATGGACTCATTCCACTGCAGCGAGAGGCCGAATCGGTTGCTAGTCTGCACTGATGATTAGATGAAAATGGCCTGAACCCGATCAAAATGTTACCAGTGTACACTCGATAATACAGAATATTTATACAAAGATTTTTTTCATAGAAACTTCTTAGCAGCTGCAAGTCTGATCACTAGTGGGGATGAGAGAGGACACAGGCTTAGAGGTGCCTGCGTTATGTACTGGTCTACAGAATTCAATTCCAATTCTCCAGGCTTTCGGTCTCGACAGATCTCCTTCAGTCCCAAAGAAAACAGAAATATACACACGAGCAATTCCTGACGGAAAGAAAACTGATCCAGTTTTTTTTACCCCTAGTCCCTGCGAAGAAAGCACAGCCTGTCCCCGAGACAGGGAAAAACATGATAAAGTCTGCATTTCTTATAAGCACAGCTGCAGTTCCTTCTCCGGGAGAAACGGAGCAGCTCGGAGTCTCAGTTGGCCGACGTCTTTGGCGCTCTCATCCTCGCAACCCTGGCCTCCTCGTCCAGCTCGTCCAGAATCTTCTCCTGGGACACCGAGTAAAAAGTGTAGCCGTCTGCGGGCAGCGGTCAAGGCAAAGGCGCTCATTTCTTTCTTAAAAGGGCTGTGCGCTGTGACGCCCCCTCCAGCAAACACCAACCAAAAGAAAAATTCAACTACTTCAAATTTCCATGGCGGCTTTCAGTTTTTACACATAACCAATCGTTTTCTCCATATTCACTCCAAACTGGTACCAGACCCTCGGTTCAACTCCACCACACAGACATTTGTTTTCATTCACACGATACAGCTGTTCACTTAAACTAATAATGTAGAGAGAGTCTCCTTATAAAAGCAAACAAGCGAGTCTTGTGCATCACCAACAAAGGAAATGGAAAACGACTACCAGGAAAAACGGGGATATTAATACACGAGAGTGGCACAGTAGCTAAGTCAATGTCTAACGCTGGGGTCCTGGCTTCAATTGTGGACCTAGGGTGCTATCTGTGTGGAAGCATAACATTCAGAGGCTGTGGACCTAAGCTACAAACCAAATGCATCCAAAGAGCATCCCAGTACAAAACAGTGCAACCTCCACCAGTAAGACTGGAGCAAGGCATCACATGAAGCCCCTGAGCACTTGAATCACATGCTCCATCATTACAGGGGTTTGTTTAGAAAGATTGTCATAGTGACCACCCAAGTTAACAGAATCTATATACAAATGCAGATATAAACAACCGTTTAGCGTTTCAGTTTCGCAAAAAAAATAATTAAACTTTGTATTTGTGTAAGTCGACTTTTCTATCCTGTGTGCATTTCTATCTGCAACCGTTATAGTAACGATTTACGTAAATTTTTGACACAGAACCATCTGGTGACAAATTCTTCTACGTGAGGACAGTACCGAACCCGATTTCTACACGGCATGGACACTTGTTTCACTGCGGTTAAAGCCGCTAATTCATTTATTGTTGTGTCTGTGACTGGACCTTCGCAGTTCGCAGTGATCAATAAGTTAAACACGTCCCTGTCAAGCTGGAAAGAAAGTGCGGTCCAAGCGCGATAAACCAATTAACCGGTGGGTGGGGAGGCTTAAAAAAATCATATTGTTTTAGCAGGTGGAAGCCCTTTCAAGCTACGGACGTGCAACACACTCGCCAAGAAACCCAGCCCTGGTTTGACCGGATGTAGTAATCTAATCATTGCATAATCTACAGGTTACGAAAACCTCGTTTATCAATGAAATAAAATAATTCACTACACGCCGTCGCAGTCTGCGCCGCTTACTCAGTGCTCAATAACCTCGTCATTTACTCCGACAGCGTTTAATGAAGAGGATGATACGACACCACAGAGACATTCAGGGCTCCACATGGGGGGGGGGGACCCCCAATACCCGTCCCCGAAAGCACACAGTAGGGGAGAACCCAAACTCGTCAGCTTTATCGCACCCTCGCGTAGAGATGCACTGCACACAAGGATACAAATGCCCATTACTACGGCACCGATTGCTAAGCCGGTCACCACGTTACGGCCCCGTAGCTTTTGGGATTTTTTCCTCCACTGCTCCATCTCCACTTTCCGGATGAGGTGGGCCTGCTCCGGGGTGAGAGGCTCCGTCTTCGGGTCGATCCTTTTGGCGAAGGTCGCCTGCGACTCCCCTTGAGAGCCCTGGTCCGCCATCTTGGTTCCGAAGGAGAGAGGCGGAGGAGACGCCGACCTTTCCACTCTGAACCCTCACCAAAACAACAGGCACTACGAGGTAAGAGAGGAGTCAAACTTCATACAACTGACGGGAAAACGAAACTTCAAATTTTAAACCTCGACTTCTCGAAATTTCTTCCGTGTTTGCTCAGTTTGACTCGCACTGTTACAGTACGGTGGGATACAGTTTTACAATGTAACTCGCAGCCGAAGCCTACAAGTACAACGCAGTAAATGCAGTCAGTGTTTCAGCTCTCGCTGGTTTAATACGCCGTCCGAGGCTAATAAAATAATAATAATAATAAAAAATATATTTTATATAGTGCCTTTAAAGGTGGCTTCTCAAAGCGCTTTACAGGATGACAACAATAAAAAAAGAATACACAATTACAATATACAGAGGAGACCGTGGATGGTGGTATTAAGAAGAGCAGAGGGGTGAAGAATGGAACCAGTTAAGTAAAGGCTTTTCTGAAGAAGAGGGTTTTGAGTCTGGATTTGAAGCAGTTTAGAGAAGGTGACTCCCTGGAAAAAAACAACAACATCGTATTGACTTCAATAGTCGAAAACATTAGAATCATTGCTATCAGCCAGGCTGCAGACTCCGAGACAAATATTTTTGACCCTGGGCTGAACACAAAGTATGTAGATGTATTTATTAATTAACCCTTTATTTAACGAAATAAGTCACTGGAGAATTTTTCTATTCATTGTTAATATTCTAATTTACAATGGATAGTACCGTTATATAGAGCCTGGCATTTACTGCAGCGTCTGAGTAAAGTAGCTGGTTTAAAAAACCTTACATGGATTTAACCCCAGAAATCTCCGGTTTAAAAATGCATTCATTGACCCACTCGGCGAAATAAAAATGATAGACAACAAATTAAAACTATCGCTATTATTAGTCGTAATGAATTAATTATTAAGTTAATATCAGAGTAATAGTAGTAAGTTACTCGTAGTTTTACTGGGTAAACTAGGTTTCAGTAGTAAGAAACATCCTAATATCTAGACCGAGAAAAACGTTGCTAATAATAATAATAATAATAATTGCTTACACTTATATAGCACTTTTCTGGACACTCCACTCAAAGCGCTTTACACGTAATGGGGACTCCCCTCCACCACCACCAGTGTGCAGCCCCACCTGGATACGATAATGTATACGTGGATGACGTTAACTGCAGTCGTCTGAGGTGATTACCTCAGAAATCGGATGAGTAGATTAGGATTGTTTTAGAAAAAAACCCATCCTGATAGTACCAAGCGAGTTAAACGTTAACCTGATAATCTCGGTAGACTGAGATGGTTGAAGTGTGTTTGACTTGTGCCGAAGGGAGTTTCAGGAGCAACACTTTGCTGCCTCAATGTTCCTAATTTCATCAGTGAACAATAAATACGTTGTTGACAACGATACCCAAATGCAGGATCAAACGTAAAGAAACCTCGGATACGGAGAGTTCATCTTCCAGTCAGGTCTGAACCGCCTCTTTTGCTGGGCGAGAAGATGATTTCTGGTTACCGGGTTTGTTTCCAGTTTGTTTACAGTTTTTAAAGGGCCGCGGTACACGCGTGGTGTGGGTGGGGAATTACTAGATAAAACGAGAGCTTCCTACACAAGGGGCAGATAAGACGTGAGCCCTATCGCCGCTATTCCGGTTGCATTTTAAACAAATTTCGTCCGCAAAGGAAAGATGTTGGGACCTCAGGTTTTCCAGCCTGCGTGCTCGCTTCTCTTTCTCTGGGACGAGGCGAGCGGACCCGCCGGCTGCGGCCGGTCTGAGGAGGACGGAGAGGATCCCGCAGGGAGAAGCCCGACGAGGGGGATAAAGTCCCTCATGGACAGAGTTTCGCAAATGGGGAAAAGTGTTGTGCGGTCCCTGCAGGCGAAACCCGCGGCGACACAGGACGGCCTGAAAACTGCGGCTAAACACCGAGGAATCGACTAGGAAGTGAAACAACAACAACAACAACAACAACTCATGACTTATGCATGTCAGATACTCCGAAACGCAGCTCTGTTTCGGGCTCGCAACGGGGAGATTTCGGGGATGACGGCAGTATGGATACGCGCTTTGAATCGCACCCGTGCTTGATTTTGTTTTTGTTTATGAAGATGAATATATATCTCAAAAGCCACGGCCAGTTGGTAACCCGAGACGATAAAAGCTTCACTGGAAGTAAAGAAGAGGAACCCGGACACTGCACATAAACATCCTGGACAGACTGGTATCTAAGGGCCACGCTTTTCGAGGGGCTTCTTGCGATAAAAGCGACTTGCTTTCAATATGACTGTTAGGATAAAGCAATCATGCACTGAGGGAGGGTCACTACAGTAAGACCAATGCAGGAGACAGAACTACCCCGGACTCCCTGTAGTGTCCGGAAGCCATATTTCTATTTGTTATGTGTGATCTTTGAACAAAGAGACGTTGAGCGAAACAACAGCTCTGGAGTGAAGTGCCGAAGTGAAGGATTTGAAGGAGTCTGATTTAAACATTGCTGATTGTACTTTTAATGAACTGGTGAATGTTGAGTATTTTACGTTGCAATAATGATTTCCTTGAATTATTATGCAGTATTGTATGATGGAAATGTACCTTGCTTTTTTTTGTGTAACTACTGTCTTCCTTCCACCTACAGTATGTTTTAGGATAATCACATAACATGCAGATACAGTATAATCCTAAAAAACTGTAAAAATTAAAAAGCAATATCCTGTTAGCCTGTAATACTAAAAATGGGTGAATAAAGTATCGAATCATTTTGTTTTTAAGTGGATTGGTGTGGTATGTTTCTACTAATACCAGTTAATTAATATTTAGCAAAAGGCACTCTATTGCTTATATTTTGTATTCATATTTAGTGATGCTCTTATCCAATCCAGTTTGTTTTTTGCTGTTTATATGGCTCCGCATTTTACTGGAGTTGTGTGAGTTAAGTACCATAGGTGTAACAGTAGTTCCTCACTGGGGGTTAGACCTTCTAATTCTGAGTCTGTACTCCTAACAAGCACTCCACAATGCCACATCACTCCTGTTGGATTGTGTGTTTTGGGTTACATTACCAGCAGCTATATCGCCCTGCAAACAACTGAGGTTGCTGTGGGAAGAGGTGTTAGTGGGACCAGTAGGGGGCGCTCACCCCGTGGTCTGTGTGGGCCCTACTGTATAAAAGGTTCCGTCCTTTGGATGAGACGTAGGCCTGACGTCCTGCCTCTCTGTGGTCGTTATAAATCCCAGGATATTTCTCAAGAAGAGTAGGGGGGTTACCCCAGTGTCCTGGCCAGATTTCCCATTGGCCTTAATCAGTCATAGCCTCCTAATGCAGTGTTGCTCCGCCACGCCCTGGAAACAGCAAGACAATGCTCTTAATTCATTTTTGCGATGGGTGCATGTTTCTTTCTACGTTTTCTTCTCATGTTTCATTCGGTCCCTCTGAAGTGAGTGTTCTGTGAGGTGTAACGGGAGAAAGGCAGGACAGCCTCCCCCAGTCAGTGTGAGACACAGGAGTGGATGCAGCACAATGTGTCTGTGCTACAATAGTGCATCTAGACACGGCTGTGTCGGAGCAACACTGGCATGTTTCAGAAACGGCGCACAACCAATCAGGCCTGGACCGTGATAGTGGACACTGTATTGTAGGAGGTGCCGTCATTCAGTTAAAATGTTAAACTTGGGGCCTGCTGCTGTCCCGTGAACCATTAATGTAACGTTTGGGAGAGTTAACCCGAGTCCTAGCTGGACTGTCTACATGCGGATACACAGTACACATGGACCTTGCTTCATCTCATTGAGAGCTGCAGAGATGAGTCCATCTCTTTAGGAACCCACACAGACACAGCTGTCTTCACAGCACCTGCAGGCAACCTTATCTTATTACAATTTCAGGTAAAAACCAAGCAACAAGCTGCGTTTTGCAATTTCTTTATCATTTATTAAAGTAACATTTAAAAAAATCTCATGGTATCAAATTAAGATTTTTATAAAAAAAATTAAAATGTGAGCATGTCCTAGTCTAATTCTTAAAAGTTGTCAAATAAAAACTTTTACAATAAAATCAATTAGCATTTAGTACTCCGTGTCCGTGTACACTACAAGTATTTTACATTCCAAACTCCGAAGGGTTTTTTTTCCACTTCCGTTTAATTTCACTTTAAATATTAAACATCAGCGGTTTCATTCCTGATTTTGTATTAAAAAAAATCTAAGTCTTGTAATAGTTCGTTAGAACTAATATGAAGTCCACAACAACAAAAAGTGATAAAAAACATTGTTTTTTTTCCTGTATCCATGCGCAGCGCTTGGATTTAACATATAAATTAAAAAAAATAATAATAACTTAAGGCTTTTTCGCAGTGCTCGCCTCCTTGTTCTGGCTGTTGCAGATGGGCACATTCAGGGATGTTCTGAACCGGATGGGGACTTGTCTTTCCTCCGATTCCGACGGCTGGACGGGCGGCGCTTCGATCTTCAGCAGCCCGTCGGCGGTCAGGGAGCAGGTCAGCGCCGCCAGGTTAAGGCGCTCGGACAGCTCGATTTCTTGGGAGAACTCCTTGAGGTTGGCGTCTTTGCCGGCTCCCTTTCTCGGTTCCTCCTGCTTCACGGCGGTGACCACCAGCTTTCTGCCCACTAACCTCACCGTAATATCCTCCAGGGAAAATTCCCGCACGTCCAGGGCCAGCTCGAACTTGTCCCCCGGGCCGGGTTTTTCACTGGGGCTGCCGGCACCCAGGAGTGCCAGGCGGCCCACGGCGGGGCTGGAGCCTCTGCCCTTCAAGAAGTCGTAAGGGAACGCTTGGCAGAAATCCTTCATGATGCTGTCCATCATCGCAGTGCGTCTCCTCAAGAAGTCCTGCTCGACGTCCTCGAAGCCCGCATGGCGGAGCGGCCACAGGACTCGGATTCTGGGCGTCTCGAAGAGGCTGCCGTTGCTGAAGAGGGTCTCGGTGCCGGAAGACTGCATCATCATTCTCGCCGCTGCGGAAGGGCTGCCCTGCTTTTCTGGGGGATGCTCTTGCTCCGATTTAGTTTCGCGCACCGACCCGCCCGACTCTTATACCCTTTCTCAAGTCGCTGGAATATTCTTTCGACGCGTTATTTACCAAGAATGTCAGGCTCGGAGAGAGAAGGGAGTGCTCCTTGGACGGTGGTCACGGGGTTAAAAAAAGTGTCCGACAGAAGCACTTTCAAAATGCCTCGGCTATTTGCTAGCTCCTCTGTCGGCGGTCGCGGTGTCGAGTTTAATAGCAGCCGCATCACCTTGCTATTTTCAGCTGTGAGGGTGTCGCATAGCAATCTCAAATCGTCTTCTCTACTCTTTGGTCTTGTCTGGCTAACTGTATGCTATTTAACATTTATATATGCTTGCTGACAATTGGTCTTGAGCATTCTGCCCCCTGGGCCTGTCACTTGTATCAGTTACCATCTCCAAATATGCTATTCAGTGGTTCATTATTTCATGTACTGTACATTTAAGTTACTTTTAGACCTGCCTCACCTGCCAGATGCTATTTAAGGGTAGTTAATTCTGAGAGACGGTGTGAGTTCTTATACCCTGTATCTTAAATTGGTTAACACACTAGAAATCTTGACCTCTTGTTAGGATTAATGTAAGAAAACAAACTTACTATGAAATTTAATGTTTCGAAAGATATGTTTTAGACTTGGGGAATAATATGATTTGCACTGTCACTATTTGTATCTGTCTCTGCCTTTGTTTCCACTGAGGTGTCTGTCTGTATCAACAGTATCTCTGTTACACAGTATCTGTCTTAGAGTATAGTATAGAATTTGTCCATCGATCGATTTCTTTTAACTGCGTCTTCCAATCCACAGTCACAGGGCAGCTGGAGCCTATCCCAGCAAGCCATGGGTGCAAAGCAGGGTGCACCATGGACAGGACACCAGTCCACTGTAGGGCGTGCACACACACACACACACACACACACACCATGGCTAATTTTCCAAGAAGCCACTTAACCTGCTAGCATGCCTTTGGACTGTGGGAGAAGATCAGAGCACCCGCAGGAAACTCGTATGACCATGAGGAGAACTTACGAACTCAATGCAGATGGCACTCAAGGTCCAGAATTGAACCCAGGACCACACTGCTAGCAGGCAGCAATGCTAACCACTGTGCTGCAATGCCACCCTCTGTTCGTCCAGTATATGCAAATACTTTGAGAAACTTCTAGTATGGATTTGTTAAATAAATGATTAAGTTCCTCTCACGGCTTGTTTTCTCCATTATTAGTTTACACTGACTCAAGCTGGCTCTGTTAAAGTGCTTTGAGAAGTAAACTGAAAAGGCCATCTATAAAACCAAATTCAGTGATTAATTTGATCGCAAACTGTATTATATATATTCCTTTATCACTTATAATGTCACTTAAGTAGCGCTTAAGAAAGGTCTGTCTGTGTCCCTCAGTTTCCATGTCCAAGCTGTGGTCACTGAGCCAGAACTTTTTCAGTGTCTGCCTCTCCTTGTTTTTTCTCACCCTGGTCAGATCTGATACTCTGTGTGTTTTGTCTTTATGGCACAGTGGTTTTCGAGTTTATTTGTGTGTGTTCTGATGAGTGAGGTAGTGGTGTTTGGCTTGTGATTGGGTTGGCTTTGATGCCCAGTAGATGCCCATCTTGTTCATCAACAGGATTCAGAAGTTATCTTTTCCATTTGTGCGATTTCCATCCAGTACATGTATTTGCTTGGTATTCTGCCTATTTAAATAAGCAATTTAAATTTGATTGATTTTCGGTTTGAAATCAAGTGTCTCAATGCCTTATGATACGTTCTGGGAGGGATGAGGAAACTCACTGCACTGTATCTCTCTAGCAGATAGATGGAGCCATTTCTCTAGATTTGTACTAGGACTTTTCGTGCTCTCTGAAAGATTTCTGGATGTGTGAACCTTTCCAAGCAACAGGAAATTAGTAATGACATTAGGGTGTGGGAGATTACCCTGGTAATGTAGAACTTCCTTGTTGTAAATGCTGTGAGTCGGTGTGTCCGCTGAGTCTTTTCAGTTGAATCCTCCTTTATTAGGCCACGGGAGCAGTCGGGTCAAACAAACGCATTTGGAAAGAAACTGATGTCCTTGTTGCGTGGCTTTCCTTTCCCGTCATCCTGGCAGCAACCTGCCAAAAAACTCCACAAAACCCTAAAACCTTCCTCCCCCCAGCACAATGTAGTTACAGCTCCAAGTAGCAGAAGATTGATCAGTGTTGCAGATGGCTGTGCTGTGGTGAGGCACGGCGTGGGGCCAGTCTGTGCCGAGGAGGCTGAGGAAGGAGATGGGAGTAGCACGCTGGGAGCCAGTGACCAGCCACCCTGACCTGGGCTTGGATGGGATAAAGGGACGGTTATTCGTCTTCCACACAGCCTTTAACGAGAGGGGAGAGCCAGCAGAAGACCTACAATGCAGGCAAATCCAGTGTAGGGGAAAGCTGCAGCCCAGCCTGTGAAACTGGACTCCTGGGAGCGATTAGCAGTGTGCCTTACTTCCCCAGCTGTGGCAGACGCAGCTGGATGCTGTCAGAGGTCCACATGCAGTATATTTCTTTATCACACCCTTTACTTCTCCTCTAACGTTATACAAGACGGTGTCAGGGGAAAGGGAAAGCACAGGAAAATCAGTGTCTGCCCTCGTTCTGTGTCCCCTCCTCTTGTCTTTCACACAGCCTCCGTTTAAACAGTTTCCCAACCCGTTCTGCACTTGAACCGAGACGTCCACAGGCAAGCCTAACAAACACTACATCTTGACACAATTGCGAATGAAACCTAATGCAGTCCTAAATCTGAAACTTTGATCTTTGTTCCATATAGACCTCATCACAAGCTGATTGACATATTTACAGTTTGCAGTTTAGCATTTCAAAGAACAGAAATTAAAGTCAATATGTTTTTTTTAAGTTTATATTCTCCCGAGATGCACTTAAATCATCCAAGACGAATGAAGGGACACTTTGTCAACAAGCAAAAGGAAATATTCATTTTTCTGTAACCCAAGCAACAAACACAAAAAAAATCTGTTTCCAGCAGTCCCCATGCATAATAAAAAGGTCAACCAAGTCTGTCATAGGGTTACTAAAGCTGTATATTGTATTACTAAGTATACATATTGTGTAACAATATAACAAAACAAAACATAGAGATTGATATAACAATATAAATACTATAAATATATATCAAGAAAACAGCATTGAGAGATGGCCATCACCCGTGGTCATTGTTTTAACAAACATGGCAATATTCCAAAGTATCAGAATATGTTCCAATCATTTTGAATCTGTTGAAATGATACCAAATGGGAAGAAGACAGAATTAGGACAACACATACAAAAGTGTTGGTTGTTATAAAAATATATCCCAGAAGAAGTAAATATTTCTTTAATTGGTTAAATATTTACATATAAAGAAAAATTTCATAGATGCACTTTCCGAATTCTAGGAATGGAAATACAAAACATATAAAAAAACAAATTGAGAAAATGGTTTAAAGAATGCAGATGTCAACAAACATTTGTTATTCTTAGAATTCTTTTTCTTGGTGTTCATACCACATGTGAGAGCAGAAGCAGAAGTATTTGTTCCTGACCAGTTCCTTTACTTTTCTCCCGCATCACACAGTTCATTAATCTGGTGCCAGTTGTTGGAATAGCCCCAGAATGTAGAGACAATGGGATTGAGCAGTAAACTGGAGGACAATTCCAGGAAGATTATCAAGACATGCTTATTTCCTGGAATTGTGGATCCACTTATCCCTGCAATCCCGTCCACCTTAAATTTATGGAATTTCATCACAGAACACTGGAAAGCACTGTTTGTTTATTCGCCTTCTACAAGGAAAAAACAGTTCTGGAGCTTTGCTTTTCCGCCTGAGGTGTGGATTCAATTGATTAAGCCAAGTCCTGGAATTGTGTTTTACAGTGGTCGACATTAACACTGCACACAAGCAGAAACACTGCTCTTTTAGGCAATAATGTTACTACCTGACTTGGCAAACTAGAAAATGCAAAGCAGAAGAGGAAAACATGTTCTGTTCTTTACAAGGTAGTCATGCAATAATGGACTTCATTAGAAAGGGTTGTGACGAGAAATGTTCATGCTGAAACGTTTTCTTCCTTGTTTTAAATACGTCAGTGGTTCTACAGACGTGGTGGTTTAATATCTTACAGCTGCAAAATGTCTCTAAGTTGAAATGAGGGAAATCACTGGATTGGACAGGTCTTTCAAATATGCCTCTATATTGAATATAGTGAAAAGATAAAAAAAAATACTATCATAACGTATCTCCCTTTTAAATGCAAACATAGCATAAATACAACACCATTGCAATTTTGTAAAAAAAATTAAATATGCAAATTGAATTAGTCCTGCTTTTAGAATGAATTAATTTCAGTTTATTTGTGATGATTTTGTGTTCCTTAGTCATTAAACACTTGAAAAGCTAATCTAGCAAGTACAGTAATGTTGATCAGCTGTTCCCAGGGTCCTACCACTAAACAGAATCCAAACAGATGGGTCTGGTAAAAAGCAAAGCAAACAACACAAATTTAATCAAATCAGCTGGAGCAGTTAATTCATGTTATAACTTTGATACCATTTTTCATGTTTACTTTTTACTTTGCGGTTAAGATGAAAGTTTGAAGTACCTCAGTGTGTGGTGGAAACACAGAGCCAGGGCAAAACCCCAGCTGTAAGCACAATGACGTCTTTAAAGACCATTCTGTGTTTCGGTAACACAAAACTCTGTTTCTTCAGGGCTGCAGGGATATCTGGATTTGATTTTCTCTGAAATTAATTACCTTCTCTGCTTAATTTTACAAATTCATCATTTTTGCAAGTCCCCAGCACTTGTTGGATTCGAAGCAGATTAAGTGAACCAATTATTTTGGAAGTGATGTCATTTGTTTTTTAAGGTCGTAGCTCTGGATTGCAAGGTACAGGCCCTCAAAGACTGCAGCTGCCAGTGACTGATTTAAAGCTTTAGACCAGAGCTTCCCTTGTGTGCTTCTCAAGATCAGCAGTCCAGTACATTTAATTGTGCCTCCAGAAATTGGGTGCAGCTTCAGACCTGTAAAGGAGGATTGAATTTGTCCAGCTAAGCCTTAGTTGAATAAATTAAACCAAGACGTCCTGTGCCGTTCATGACTTAAGGACATTTAAAAAAGCCTCCTGGAGTCTCATCCTCCAGTATAACAATGAGAAGCTCTGATCTAAATCTGCACAACGTTTCTCACTCCCTTAACCTTAGTATTAGTAACGCAGAAGAAAGCAAGTCAAAGTGTTTATTGCCAAAGAGTTTCACACTTCACTTATTTCACTCTGAATATCTGAGGTAAATGAGAGGTTGAGATTATGTGCTTAAAGTTTATGGTGCAGGGAAACAGCAGCCTGCAAGTTTTGTGCATAATCTGTAAGCATTGCATGTTCTGATCTACAGGAATGACAATAAAACGCCCACTGCACTTTGATACACAGGAGGTCAGATTTCATGCTATACTAGTATTGCATGAAAATATATATTATATCCAGTATAACATACTCACAGCAAGGTAACAAGAATGATATACCCAAAACATTGTACAGAGGAGCCTGCAGTTTGTAAAATTGTAGTCACAAACCATTATGCAAATGGTTTTGTGTTTCCATATTTCCTCTTCCAGTCTTTTTACATGTGGAATCAGCTGGTACATGTCAAAGTGCATGGGATTCATGAGCTGGGCTCTCCGTCTTTAGTCTTCCAGACAACCAGGCTGACCATCAGTGGAATGAGGCAGATGGGTGTCATGACGAGAGCTGTCATTACTTTCAGAGGGGGCTCAATGTACTCAGAACGGATGTCACAGTTTTTGAAGTGCTTGGAGTGCAGTTTCATGAATAGGTCGTCACTCTTTTTGTTGGGCCAAGGAATACCTAGACAGTCAGCCACATCCTCTGTGCACTGACTGAAATTGCTGTAGGGTCTGCAGGAACAGAGGGAAAAGTCAGACCTTTACCTTGACAAAAACCCGTCCGTCAAATATACTTATCACACTTGCTTTTAGGAAAGGTCCTTGGATGATTTAAAAAAAGATAAAAGTACATTAGGAGAATCAACATACAATCTTGTGAGCAAGAAGGCGTGACTGTTTTTAGTGAAAAGAAAACCAACCTGCTAATGTTATTCCATGTACACCATTTTGTGTTGTCCAGTTCATTCATGGTCTTGTTGAAATCTCTCCAGCACTTTTCTTCAAGAAGGCACTCGTAGCAGAACATTCCACAGTGTCCTTCACAGGGTGCACAATGCTCAGGGCAGAGACCTGCTTCATCACAGATTTGGAGCCCTAAAAATAAACAGATAAATGACTATGTGATGCTTAACAAAGTTAAACATAATAAATGGCTATATTTAGTTCAATTCATATTACAGCTGAGAACTGCAATATTTCAAAATAGCCTGAAGAGTCCAGCTAATCTGCAGTGCTTTTGCCATTGAGCATAATTCTAAAGCGTATTTACTTTGTCCCTCCAATGAAGAGCCTTTGAGCCGTGAGAGTTGTCAGTATTATGAGGATAGTTCGCTCTGATATAAGGATAATACAGAGCTCCAGACAGCCCAGAGGAGCGTGGTACAGCGTATGAAGAACAGTCAGAATACAGGAAAACACACAGCGGCATCAAAGAAGCAGTGAAGAGCAGGTTGAGTTGCCATCGGAGCAAGGAAATCCCAAACTAGATCACAAGACACAAATCAAGACAAAAACATAGGCAGAAGGCAGACAAAGAGAGAGATTTGTGAAAGAATCGTGGGCATCATATGCAGAGCCGCACAACACTAGTCCTGGAGGGCTACAGTTCAGCAGATCTTCTATATATCTATATTGCCTCCTTATGTGCTGTGGAAATAAAAAGACACAGGCACTGGCCCTCCTGGACATGTCTACAGGACATCAAATCATATTAATCAAACCAAAAAATGTTACAAATCCAATCACCAACACTCTCTTTTTGAGGTGATCAAGTCACACTGGCCACAACATCCAGTATATTTGTTGGAGTAAAATGCAACAGGCATATAATTAACATAATCAGCATTTAACTTACTGTACATGCTGCTGTCAGCATGAGTTAGCATTTGGCGTGGGTGTTGTTTTTAGCATTGCAAGGGCTAAATAAAATATTGTTTTAGTTATGGATCTTTATGTGCTAGTAAATAAGGAACACCTGGTTTGTTCTATTGCCCCAAAAGGATTTCTTAAAGTTACTGCCTCTCTTTAATAAATGAGGTATTATTTATTGTCTTTTTATCTGGATCTGCCAAAAAAAAAAACAACAAAAAACAACAAGTTTCATCTTGGAGATCTGTATTTTAAATTTTAAAGGATTTTTGAACTGGAGAAAACTTTTCTGTTGTTCTAAATGTAGTTATTATTTTGAAGTAACTTTACAGAAGAAATAAAATGCATACCTTCATTGTACCCGTTTGTCAGATAAGAACCTAACACAGAAAAGAAACAAAACAATAAAATGAGGCACAATAATTACGTATTTAATTTTCATAGCTTACATAGCTTATAGTACATTTCATTGACTAGTTAAAATAGGCAAAATTTAATTTAGGATAAAATAGAATGTAATTACACCAAATTGCAACATCTTACATCTGTCTTGTGAATGCAAGTCTTAAAAATATAATCCAAAACTAGTTTAATTAGAAAATAGACACCATAAATACTTATATCGACTTTTCATTTTCCACTACCACGAACACCACAATATAGAATAGAGTGTCTACACAGGACGGTTTTGAAATGTGTTACACATGTAAGTCATGTCTGTTATATGATAACACACATATTTAAATATTTAGTCAGTATGCCTCATGAAAGTCAGTTTATCGCTACTTTTTTAAAGATCTTCTTGTAAGTGTGTAGCTTACTGTGATGCATTTTGTAGGGTATGCGTGAAAACCCTTTTTCTTTTGAAAAAAACTGCACATTAGAATTTTTTTTAATGAAACATCACAAAGATTTTGGTCTGGCTTGTTTTTCAAATCTAATTTAGCAAAGGAAGAAAACAGGCTACTCCTCGTCATTTATTTAGCTGTGACAGGCAGCAGTCATAGTCGTGAAACCTGCAGTCATCCTACAGAGCGTCATCAAGAAACGAAAAGCACTGCTTACCAAACAGAAGCAAAAGGAAAATCTCCCAAAACGTGAAAGTTTTCTTCATCTTAATGAATTTTACCTCTCCCCCCCTCCCCAGTTAGGCGAGGAAAACATAACAGGAAATTCTACTGGGTGGATGCATGAGCCGGGACCGCCAGAGTGTTTCTAGATTAACAGATGTTCTGCTGGGTGCCCTCTGTCCTCTCTGCTCCAGCAGCTGATGGACAACTTTTCCTTCCCTCTTTATTTTCTCTCTCCAAAGTGCAACTGCTGTACGGCACAACCAGTCTGACTTGACGCACATCTGAAAATCCTCTGTGGAACAGGCTTTTCTCACAGACAATAACCTCTCTGCCTCTTGCTTGTGATTTATTTATCTTTACCGAAATGGCTGCCAAATAGGAAACATAAGTAAACATTTAGGGCCAGAGATGTTTTGATGAAAAGAAAACTTGTGTGTGCATGGGTGTGTTTGCAGACGGTGCCTATTAAATTTTTTTTTCTGTTTTATCGCCTCCAGTCTCCCTTTTATTCATCAGGATAGATGCAATCAGTCTCACAGCTGTTTGGAGAAAGTTCTCATTGTCTTCAAGCTGGAAGTGATGCAAATAGACCTCACGTCTGCAACCACACATTACAGACATCAGCTTGTCAGCGTGGTGCCAGAATTGCAGCAGACGCAAGAAATGGACAAAACTGGATTATAGATAAGAAATTAAGTGAATGGATATACAATTGATTGAAGACTGAAGAATGAGAATGTGGTTGTCTCTTCTGTTGTGCCAAAGAAAGTCACAGTCAGATGAATGTTATATATAATGCATAGGATCTGTTAGCTGCCTTTATTATTCCAATAATATCTATTTATGTTTAGTGTTTGCCTAACATGTGCTGTATAGTATATGCCAGCTACTAATACTAGATTTTACCATCTGTATAGGCATATTCTCCCATTATTTGGTTATACCAAACCTGTCATTAAATAATAACATTTATTAAGTACCTTCAGCACAAGAAGTTCACAGGAAAGGTTGTAACAAGAGAACAAGGGTTTTTACTAGTGATAGCCAGATGTTATTTGGCTTTATTAGCTTAAACTTTGGAGAGCCGGAGAAAAAAGGAAACTGCAGCTGTTTGTGTCCAGCAACAGCTGGGTGGTTCGCAATAGCTAATGGATTTTAATTTGCTAACTGACATAATAAATAATGGGCTATGTATTTGTGTAGCAGAGAGGTGGGGTGCCTGGAAAAGGCTGGGGGTTGGGTTTTGATGTTACAGCTGTTACACAATCTGAAACCAAGGCGCAGTTTCTGTCAGTCAGAGTGGTAGGAGTACGTGCCAAACAAACACACAAACTGCACAGCCTGAAGGCTCCTTCTAATAAGGTTCGAGCTAAACCTCAGCTTCACACCGATCCTCAGCAATTACTGAACACATGACAGAGCTGGAACTGAACCACGCTGTAGAGAGCTCCCTGTAGGATCTCTCCGTCAAAAGATAATGGGAGCCTACGGATCTTGGCAGTGCTGTCGTGTTTTGTTGTATTTGCAGCATATGATCAGGGGCCTCTTCTGAAGATTGAACACTGGCTTTTTATTTCAGAACAAGGTTTTGTGTGTTTTTAGAGCATGTTGTTTTCCTCCTGTCAGGCTGCTCTTGCTCTTTGTCTTGTGTCATGTCGATGTATTTATGACATGCGTACACATTGCCAAATCCTGAACAGACCTACAGTACTACTGCAGGGGCTCCTCTAAATGATACCTTCACCACCCCCTTAAATATTATTATTATCATTTTATTAGTGTCATAAATATTTAGACTGTTTATATTTGTAATCATAGTCCTAAGGAAAACAGGAAAAATTACTCAAACTGTTGATTTTAACATGGCATTGAAGATAAAAACTAAAAATAAAGGAGCCAGCCGGAATATTTATAATTTCTTTGGACCTCAGGTCTCACATCTCAGATAAAAAAACCTTGCACGGGCAATTTCTTCAGATCAGAGGGGGCGGAGTGGATTCAGGTGTGACCTTACCTTGCGTCGTTGTGTTTGCTGTTGTTGGAGTTCCACAAGTGAGCCCATCGTATCCTACAAGGGCTGAGAAAAAACAGTCGGTTGTTAGTGGGGAATACATTTCTGTATGTATCTTCAATAGTATTAAACCTAGAAATTAGCCAGAAGGTAAATTAGCCCATTCTTATAAAGTCATAATTGTATCCCCATTCCACAGTGACTGAGGTCAAGAGGATACAGTCAGCTGTGTAAAAGACCTGAGACCTTTCACATCTTGCCTTAAACTCTCAAACTCTGCTCTCCTTCTAGCATATAGTATAGTTTCTGACTATGAGATAATTAACACTCAGTACCTTGTACTGTTAAATTCATGAGGCCAGATGTGATGCACTAATTGAGAATCTCCTGCAAGAGAACAGCCTCAGAAATGGAAGACATGGGATCAAACCCTCAACCTGACTGCCAATCACAATGTACAAACACGGTGCTAGATTGTAGATGTTTGTTCTGCCAGCTAATTTTGCTCCTAACCAGTGGACAGCCAGCCTCAAGTGCTGGGACTGGAAAGTGCAGCCAGTGGGAGAGCTGACGTCCAGATTTAGTCTGGGCCACAGGCAGTCGGCTCGCAGAGGTCTCTGTGAGAGCTGGGGGGAAGAGTGCCTGTGGTCCTTGCGGTAGAGATTTTCTCCGCTGATTAGAAGTTCTGTAGTTCGTTATTTCTGTTTTTTTCCTCCTGGGATGATGCGAAGCACTGATGTGTTTCCCACTCCCAGAGATATTCATTGTGTTTTATAATAGGAAAAAGAAGTGGCAAGTGACAAAAAGCTGAGAGATTTGAACCAGATTATTTCATGCTTAAACAGCCTCTCCCAAGGCAGAGTTGATAATAATAATAATTTACAGTTGTGGTATTGTTGTTGTTGGCTCTCAGCTTCAAAGTTCTGGGTTCGAGTTCAGCTTTGGGCTTCAGTCTGCATTATCCCTTTGTCTGCATTAATCCCTTTGTGTTTCCCCAGATGCTTCATTTTCAAAGAGGTGCAGAGTGGATTGGACTGGCTGCAGCAAGCTGTTCGTTCCAGAGGGATCTCCACATCACTGCCCTGTGCCTCTCTGTCCAGTGCTCAGCGCTCAGAAACAAGCACGGCTTGCACAGGCAGAGAAAAAGGTATATGATGCTCCGTGGCATTGATCACGCCATGAAACCTTGGATAATTCCTTTACCAAAAAAAATCTTCCAATCAATGTGTTAGATAGACAGTCATAGTCAGCTAGTAACACAACACAGGCTTGAATCCCTGACACCTGCATCACAGAGCTCAGCCTGTGCCCAAGGGAGCCCCTTTATTGGCTGGGCCAATCAAAACCCAACTCATTTCTGTTCAATATGTGTATCACTGTGATTTTATGTCCGTGAAGATGTGAACTTTGAATTTCGTGTTTTCTTTTTTAATTTTTAAGTTGACCTGGTCCTATCAGTCAGAAAGAGGACAGGTCTAATTCCAGTCAGCGATGAACCCCACATGTCTGATGCAGGCATTATTTTTAATAACGATGGACTTCATCTTGATAAGCATCCACTGCTTCAAAGATAAGGATACTGTATTTTGAAATAAATAACCAGGGAAAATGTTGATAAACTCTGATCTAAGGGTATTTAAACAGAATAAAATCTAAATATACTTCACCATTGTTTTCTTAAACATCATTCATTTATCTTATTAGTGTGCAATGTTATGTCAATAAGTATACTGAAACCTTTCTAGCTTTATAAGACATTTTGCCAATTCCATACATGCTATTAGGGTATGTGTACCCTACATATTACCAAAATATTACTTTTTGTCTACCTTCATGAGGTGTAAAAATATTTCTTCCTTCAGTACAGTGTAAATTATTTTATCCCACTTTGTGTTGGAGCACTGCAATTGAAACACTGAATCAGCTTTATATTGCACTAAGTTCTTTTTCCATGTACCATAGATATTGTAAATGTATCAAACTGTGTCTTTTGTTTGTAGAGCAATCTAGGTTTGACAGAATTCTAGTCCATCAGAGAAGCAATCTGAGAGTTCTTCAGATAAAAATAAATAAACAGCACTTGGCCAGACGAGTGCATGGTCTGAATTGTAGGAAACCAAGCAATGACAGTTTTTTGTAAATGTTTTGTTGATTTTTAAACAACTTTAACTACAGACTGAACTCCGCCCACTCTGCTCTCCACACAAAATCAAGTCATTTTATGTTTTTTTTTTTCATTTCAAAGCATTAATTTACATCACTGTTAAAATAGAAGGAGAGATTGCAAATCACATTTCGTTTTATTTGGTGGAAGCTCATACCAGCTGTATCACCGATCCATCCCATTTGAGTAAAAACATATTTTATTTTAATGACATTTGCCTGGAGTCTGTTCTTTTTTTGAATTAAAACCTTATTTGCACTTACTAAAATAAGGGAGGAAAATGTCCAGCAACGACAAAATCATCCTTAAAATTACTGAGCAAGAGTTATATACAGTATATAGTTAAATGTGAACTTACCCCATAGCAGGACTAATAAAATACTTGAAGAACAAGCTTCTTCCATTTTAGAGGAGTTTATCCTCCTGTCTCCTTGTGAATCGAGAGTGCACATCTAAACCTTTCTAAAGGAAAAGATTGAAAAAAAATAACAGGAAACTCTCATTTCCTCTGATGGGTGGATTTCACAAGGGGATAGGCTATGATAAGAGTTATTACCTCTTTTGCTATCTCTCCCTTTCGAGAATATAATACGGATCTTTTAAACTGCAACAGCCACAAAAACAACACAATTAACTACAAGAACTCAATTACAGGCTGCTAATGCCCCAAACAAAGTAAAGGGAGAAAAAGGAACATTCTTTATGTTTCAACCATGCTTCATTCTTCATTTTAATGTAATATAATAATATTAAGTCTGAATTATACACATGCCCAATCACATCATCATGCTGATTCTGAATTAAGTACACACACAATCACAGCATCATGCTAATTCTGAATTAAGTACACACACAATCACAGCATCATGTGATAGTAAGAAGGACTAGTGGACTGAGCTGAGGGCTTGCAAGAGGTGAGCTAATGGAATGGAGACAGCAATGTGAAATAATGAAAACTGAGCATGAGGTGTTCAGCACCTGTATGTGTGTTTAACTGAGAATGGTGCAATGTTACGTTTTGTCTCTGAAACCACAGCTAGAAACTCCATAATAAATATTTGGCTAAATTTACTGTTTTGTATTCAGCCATAATTTTCTCACTTTGCTCCCATGTCTGGCCACCACCAAATGGAAAAAGAGAAAAGTAACTTTTTTCAGCAGAACGATTGTATTATCAAGCTTTGTCTTAACAACACCTTCATACTAGTTTTATTGTAGCCTTATTCTGGTTTTATTTTTTTTCACGGTTTCACTAAGAACAAGGAGCTTTTTACATTTATACCAAAAATACTGCATATAACAAGCCCTGGACAAAGAATGGAAAATGTACATACACAACTATACTGTAGGTGTCCAGGAACAACAGACCATTACAGATGCTTTAAATTCTGATCAGAGTATTCATGTGGAAACATTGTTGCTACTTTCTGAGACAGTGCTGTCCAAAAACAGAAAGGTTTCAGTTCAATTTTAATTTAAAGAAGAAGATCACATTCCACTGGTTTTTGTCTTAATACACCTAATGCATATAGGGTAAAGTGAAATTTTTCAAAATCAGATGGAAAATTAGTTTTTTTACAACACTGATAAAACAGTGATGTTTCATGTTAAGATAATTTATCAACACATTATTAATGATATTCTGACAATAGGATCAAAATTAATAAATAACAAGGATATGTATCCTGCTGTGATCAGGATTAGTATAATAAATCAATAGTTATATTTACAAAATGTTTAAATTGTCATTTGCAATCCCTAAGCTAAAGTGTTTTCAATGTGTAGCATTGTAACAAGACACAGAGAGCCCTGTGACCAGAGTTAAGAACCACTGGCTCAATTGAACCAAGTGAAACAGGAAGACTTTGGCTACTACAAAGAAATTGTGAAATCAAATAAAAGAATGTGCAGAAAAGTTCAAGGAAACATAAAATGTGGAGCAGTCATTGTTTCTGCAGACGTCACCAGGCTTCATATGCGCTCTGACAGTGAGGAAACACACAGGGCT